GTGGATTCTTCTGATGTATTCAACTCATTAGTTCTGTCAACATTTGATTCTTGATTTAAGTCATGATTTTGTCAATGTAGTGACACATACATCAGTCAGTTTTTCTTGTACTGCATGCATTTTGTCATATGTAGCTCCAAAATGCTAAAAGATTTTAACTTCATCCAAGTTTGGTATTAAATCTTCTTTTAGCAATAGGATGTATTTGGCACTGTACAAGCTATTGTTAATTTAACCAATTTTCTTAGATCATACCTTTTTATGCAACCATAAAACATCAGACCGATACCCTCAAAACTTCACTTGGTGACAAAGGAAACAGTACTGAGCTGCTACGTGAAAACTGTCCTCTTATAGTCAGTAAATGTTGGACGGTCTCCTCAAAGATGAAGAAGAGACTTGATCCAGCAGAAATGTGGTTCTATAGAAGGATGCTAAGGATATCATGGCGCAAGTGTGTGAGCAATGATGAGGTCTTGGAGAGGATGAAAACAAGGAAGAAACATACTTAACATAAGGAAGAGGCAGATGAAATTTCTGGGACATGTAATGAGAAAGGAGGGCCTGGAGAATCTGATACTCACAGGTCAAATAGAGGGAAAAAGACACAAGGGAAAGCAATGCATGACATACCTGGCAGGTATAAGCAAGTGGATGGCAGAACTTGGTCTAGGGGAGTTAGCAAAGGCACAAAACTTATTGAGAGCCACAAGGGATAGGGGGAAGTGGTTGCCTATGTCCTGAAAGGACACGGCACATAAAAAGAAAAGGAAATTATGGGTCATTTTTGCTTTCACATCAGCCTTCTGACAAATTTACTCTTATTAGAATTGGAATCTTATCCCAAGTGTCTGCAGTTAAATGCACTTTGACCAACTTAATGTTGCTTTAAATATGTAGGTTAGCTTGCAGAGATAGTATCCTCACATCAGGAGACTTGTTATAGTTTTCCAATCTTGTCCCTTGAGGATCTGAATTTTCTTTTTAAGTTTGTTGTTATTGCCATATTTATATGTAATGTAGCATACCTATGGACAGTAATGGGTTATATCCCCATTCACATAAATACAGTAGTAAATACTGTATGTTGGTCTGCAGTTGGAGATTCGTCTCCAACTGCGACGATCAAAATCTCTGCCTCCAGGCAGAGAGGATCCCCAGATGAGGCTATGTCGAAGGGCAGTGTCTCGTCTCAGGAAAAAGCTACCTGACCCCATTTTATGCGGGGCCTACAAGGAATTTTTGGCCGAGCCCACGGGATCGGATATCCCACATTAAATTCAGTCATGTGCCATATCTGACAACATGGGGCGGTTAGTAAATATCCTGCAGTTTCAGATTCATTGTGGAATTCACTTGACTGACTTCTAGCAGTTGACTACTACTTCTACACACAGCTGGTGAATCTTATATGTGTTGTTCTTGTCCTAAGTATTATCGTTCATTACCAACCTTCGCTTCATTATTCTATTCAGTAACCTTCTTTAGGTTACAACAATATGCATGAAATGAAATAAAGAATAAAATAGGAAATGAATCTCAATCTAACATGTTTCATCTTTATTAAGGTTTTGTCAGAGATTGAGAATAAAAAACCAAAGAGATAGAATATTGGAATGTTATGATTTTTGGTAATTCTCATTGGTCAGACATGCATCACTATTGCCTTTATATATTTCTATCCATATTTGATATACATTTGATCTTCAGCTCATTTATATATATATATATATATATATATATGAAAAATTTCTCATAGTTAACCTATAGAAAAAGACAATATACTTGAATAGGAATTTATTGAAAACAAAGTAAATATTAACAACAAACAAAATGTCCTTATCATCTAGAAGAATTTAGAAAATGCTATTGTATTCATATTGTCAACTGAAAATTACGTCAAGTACTTTCATGTGTAGAAATATTGTTTTAATGTTGTGTTGATGGATTCAACCATTTACTTTTGAGGACTTGATATAGTTGTTGTTTGTATGTTGGCTTGGGAGAGTAGTAATTCTGTTAGGATAGGTGATATTGGAAAAAAACCTGGGTGTAGATTAATAATAATCTTCTAGTTGCTAAGGACATTCTGTTTGTTATTAATTGTTACTTTTTTGTCAATAAATTCATTTCGTTTTTGCCTTGAAAATTCCACTTTGGACGAAATGTGTTGGCTAATAATACAGTTTTCCTATTGTCTTTTACCTTTATATACATACATACACACATACACATACATATATGTGCATATATATAAATAAGTGTGTGTGTGTGTGTTAAATATAAAATCTATTATTCTTTAAAAATTGCTTTGTTTACATTTTGCATACAAAACGGAGCAGATATGGCTTTCGAGCTAATCTGAAGGAGTAAATGTGCTTTAATACAAATTGAACCTTGCTAAACTCTGAAGCTCTCCATAGCTGAGTAGTCAAAGCACACTGGATCAGATGGTGGTTCTTCCTGCAAAAAGGGAAGCAAGTTTGAATCTTGAAAGAGAGGACATTTTCTTTATTAAGTATTGTTGAATGTGCAGGACTATAAACAAAAAAACACTTTTTAAAATAAAAATAGAAATGGAACGTCTACACCAATGTGGGTATCCATCAAAAAATAATGTTTGAAGTAATATATATATATATATATATATATATATATATTGTTATAGTGGAACACACCTATTCTATAGTTAATAGACTCTCCCACCTATAATAAGAAGGAGTAGTAAGAGTAACAAGTCAGTCGCTCAGTCAGTTGGTCAGTCAGTCGATGTCGGATGACCGTTAGTCAGATATTAAAGTATCAGCCACCCCAATTAGATTACTGTGTCATTACCTATTATATCAAGTTCCTAACGTTTTTGTACGTCAAACCTATTTTAGGACCGATGTAGTACAAATACAAGCCTCACTGTGAAACCACTACATAACAATTTGGCGATGAGGGATTTGAACTCATACAGAGGAAGAAAAAACCTTTCGTACACTACATAATATATATATATATATATATATATATATATATATATATATATATATATATATATATATATATTCTCTTAAATATGCAAGTACTTTTGATGGGTCCTCCAGTCATCATTAGGCATGGAAACTATTTTTGTTTTGGTACAATTCAGGTAGCATCTGAGACTAAAAAATATGCAAATTGAAATGTGTTATTGATAACAGATACAAACTTGTAGAGCATGCAGTCGAATTTTTTGAAAATTTAAGTGTGAGTGTTTTTTTTACTAATATGGCATTCCTGAAAATTTTTGCATGTCAGATCAGTTCTTTTAAATCAAATATATGGTGCAGTTTAATTTATATTACAAGGATCATAACATTCATTGAGTGATTAGTGGGTTAACACATTTTTAGAAGTTTGTTAGCGAAGTGAATTCGCCATTTTATATCATTAACTTTAGTAATTTACTTGTTGCATGAATGATTCATTATAATATAAATTAAACTACCACACACACACACACACACACACACACACAGTGTGGGTGTGTGTGTGTGTGTGTGTGTGTGCGTGTGTGTGTGCGTGTGTGTTTTATGTATGGGCTGAGCAGTACAGATTCATCCTGTGGAAACAGGGTAAGTATTAAGTTGGTACAAAAATAATGACGTAATAATGTTGTTTTTTGACGTTAAAAAATACGTCAAAAAACGACGTTATTACGTCATTATTTTTGCACCAACCTAATAATAACTGGGCAGTAGTAAATAAGAACAAGATATACATAGACATGAACAATCTATGCCAATCTAGATTAAGTAACGATCTTCCTGAATGGTAGACACCTGATTGATTGCTTTATTTTTTATGGCTTATCAACACTTTGCTGGTTATTTGACGCTGAAACATATTTAAGATTGTTTTCTTGTTTTTTACAAGTAAATATTATATAAACAATTTTTGTGGAATACCAGTAATTTTTCAAGATACAATTACTAATATTTAATCCATAGCTGGGAGTACAATAATTTCATACTTTCTCCTAAGGGTATTTGTGCATATGTAACAAACCCAAATGGAATTCAAACTCAGTTCTCCAATCTCTCTGGCAGACACTTGAGAAAGGCTGGAGGGTGCAATAGTTGAAACGTTGTGATAATAACAAGGATAATAGATGAGGATAATAGACAGTAATTTTTTTTCTGAATTTGTACAAAAGAATGCAGCTGGGAATTTTGCCCTATAATTTATATCTGTCATAAAAGATTGGTTTTCAATATCCATTTTGCAAACCAAATTGGCAAACGCAGTTTGAATTCTCATTGAGCTTGTATATCTAAATATCTCCTTTAGTATTTCCAGCAAAACAGATATATTAAGAAATAAGTACATGTGTAAGAAGAGAGATTGATATACAGATAGGTAGTTTTAAATATTAAGCATTATAGCTTAACCAAGTCAATTGAGATGGAAATGAAAACCATTTGTTTGAAAGCTTAGGTTAAAACCTGAACAGATTTCAATATGTTGAAGCTCAGTCTTCAATTTGGACACCCACCCTTTTTAGGGTGTTTCCTTATTTGTGCGTTGTTATCAGCCAAGATGAACATTAAGATAATGTTCAGAGGAATCAGTGCAATTTTTTTTTTTTCCAGTTCTCCTTATGTCTGGAGTGTGACTTTATTTCTATTTTTATTTGGCAAGTAGCGTAAGTGAATTTCTAAAAATGTACAATTCTGAATTTATAAACAAAGACTGTATTTAAATATATATCATGCTGTTCAATCAAAATATGTCTGTTGTTGGAGGTGGGTGTTATCAAATTTAAAAACAAAAAAAAAAAATGAAAACCTTAAATCATTTTTTTAATTTATCTTGGACAGCTTAATTCATTTTCTATCCATAAGCAAGCAGTTACCCTGAAATCCAAAAGCATATTGGTAATCATAATGGTAATAATAAAATTACTTGTTTTCACAAAGGAAACATTTAGCTTTCATTGACCCAACACTGTTGTCAGTTGAAATTTAAAAAAACGGTTCCTATATGATCACAGAAGTTAAGCAATGTTGAGCCTGGTCAGTACCTAGATGGGTGTCTGTGTGAGAATACCAGGTGCTGTAAGCTTGGATGCACGGTTTGCTTAGCATTGTTAATCAGAGAACTGGGTTCCAAAATCTCTGTTGGGTTAATTATATTCACTGACACAAATACTCTTGGGAAAGATATGAATCCATCTCTTCTTCCCCTCCAGATATGGGTTAATTAGTAAGACTTTTATCACTAAATCATTATTATCTCAAAAAAAAATTCTTAAAATCTAAAAGTTTTTCTTGGTTTAAATAATCTGAAAAAGGTTGATAAACTGTAGAAAATGAATGAATCAATCAATGAAATACGGATTAGCTACACAGGCATGTCTTTTAGATTTATTTACATTCTCTGGAATATAAACATATAGAAACAACCATGGCCACAAAGGGCAATCTTAGTTTATATATTGATTGTAATATAGAATTGATCCCCCATTTTATATCCACATTATAATTTCTTCTTCATTTATCAAATTTTGATTAGGTATGAATCCATCTCTTCTCTCCTCAGCTATAGGTTAATTAATAAGTCTTGTATCACTAAAACATTATTATCTCAAAAGAAAATCCTTACAATCTAAAAATATTTTCTGGCTTTAAATAACCTGGAAAGGGTTGATAAGTCGTAGAAAACAAATCAATTAATCAATGAAATTTATAAAGTCTTTCTTTTTAAACAGTTTTTTAGGAAAATAATCTTTTCCACTAACTGCTATCACTCTTTTTTAGTACTGATCTTTCCTAACCTTTTATTTAAAGATAGTGTGGAATGTCAACATCTTGATTAAACCATTATTTCCCTTCTAGCTACATGTACTTTTTTTTCAATCAGTATCACCTCATGCAAGGCAATAAAGCCACTAAGACACAAGGAGTTACAGGAATTAGGAACAGAAACATTAATAATGAGCGGGAAGAGAAAAGAATAATCAGGAGGACAGTAGATAGCGGTTGATGTTGCATTTAAATGTTTGCAGATTAAAGTTGGCTAGAAAGCATGGAGCTGGAAGAGTGTTTCACAAGCGAGAAGTGTGAGAAAAGAAACTGTTAGCATAGAATTTTCGGCTACATCTAGCCAGCTCAGCTGTAAATTGATGAGATCCAGACGCCACTCTAGTAATGCGATTTAATTCATAAAATCTAGATACCATAGCGAAGAACTTATCTGAACAATTAAAACATGAAAGTATTTATAGAAAAGGCACAGAGAGGCAGACCTTATGGTGGTGGAAAAGTGACTGAATGCAAGCCACCAGATCAGGACCAATAATATTGCTGACTTTTCTTTGGATTTTATCAAGGAGCTCAAGGTAAATAGCAGGTGCAATGGACCATATGTGGTAGCAATAGTCTAAGCATGGCCAAATCGTAGACTTATAGATATGTAAGATAGATTCTGGAGAGTATGTTATGGATAGAGTTTAACATACTCATTGATAATACACATATAATAGCATCATCCATATGTACAAAATGGCTAAAAATAATGGAAGCATTATTAATAAAAAAGAAAAAGCCAACCTTGTCAGTTGTTTTCAACAAAACTTGCATAAAAGATGGATTGCTGCCCAAATACACAATATATATATAAGTGTAAAAATAAATAAAAAATCCTAAAGAGCCAGGAACTACCTACCTAGGTTTCAACTAAACGGATCTTCAGGGTTTTTTGTTTTTTTTATCATGTGGTTTTATGCCAATTTTAGCTTTTAGTGGTTGGTTTTAATTGATAAATATGTTCCTTGTTATATCCTCTTCAGCCATTTTACCCTGAAAATCCATTTAGTTGAAACCTAGGTAGATAGCTCGTGGCTCTTTAGGATTTTTTTATTTTCTGCTCTGCTAAGTTTATTGAGCTCTTTAGGTTTTATCTTATTTTTGCCCTGCTCGAATGTTTCTAATTCTTTCTTTTTTTCCAAGATACCAATTTGTTTTGATATATTTGCAAATTGTGTCAACCAGTTTTTTTTCACCAGCTGAGTATAGTTAATATATATATATATATGTATATATATGCACACACACATATATAGATGCACACACATATATATATATATACACACACACACACACACACATATATATATATATATATATATATATATATATATATATATATATATATATATTTGTTTGAATAAAAACAGACCACTTTTAAGGTTCCATGTAATCAGTTATTTCACCATGAACCCTTTTAAAGGTTGATTTCAACCTTTGGAAGTAAAGTCTGATGATCCAGAGCCCTTTAAAAATGTTGTGGTGAAATAACTTTATTACATGGAACCTTAAAGTGGTCTGTTTTTATTCAAACATATTTGCTCTGAATTTACATTGAGCTCTCTGGATATCATCCTCCTTGGGTCTACCCATACGGATTACCTAGTTTTGCATAAACTAACTATATATATATATATATATTTATATGCACATAGATATAGATATAGGTATATATACCCCCCAAACTCTCTCTCACAGGTGGGATGTGGCAAGCCTCTTGCTGTACTATTGTTACTTCCATAGAAAGTGCTCGGACACTGGAAGTAATAAAAATATACATGACTTCAGATTACTGTGGCACATTTTCTGTTGGTATGTTACATTTTATGTTAACACTAAATAACTCACGTTGTTTAGTTTCTTTTACTGGATTAAACGCATTGACAAAAAAGGAGATTATGTTGAAAAATAAATATTTGTTGTATTTTTTTCATCATGAGCTATGGACATTGCATGGTGTTAAGAAAATGTTCTTACTTTTTTTTGTAAGAGTTGATATTATTTCAAGTCTATTTAAGTCAAGTACCATAATCAGTTCTGATGAAAATGAAGATAACCTCAATCTTTTCTAAGTCTTTCCTTGTTTTTCTTCTTTTATTGACTTCAGCTTGTGACATCAATAAATAAATCATTTCTTGACAGCTGGTTTTATGTTTAAAGTGCAGGTGTCTACAAAATCTGCAAAAGAAAATAAATAAATTAAGTATTAGAGTGTATCAAAAGTATTTTCTTTTTTTAGCAGACTTTCACTCCAAAGTTTATTTCATGTACACATCTGAAGACTATCTATGACTCCATGATATTATTAACATTATTAATATATAGTAGGCTGTATCAAAATTATTTTCATTTTTTACAGGCCTTTACTATAAAATCTAGTTCATTTACATATGTAAAGTCTGTCTATGACACCACTATATTATTAACATTATTATTATTATTATTATTATTATTATTATATATTAGGTTGTATCAAAAGTATTTTGTTTGTTTTTTATAGACCTTCATTCCTAAGCTTATTTCATTTAGTACATATAAAGACTATCTATGAATGTACTATATTATTAATATTATTAATATTAATATTATTATATATTAGGGTATGGATGCATGTTCAATTAATTAGAATATTTGCTTTCTGACTGTGAAACCTAGGTTCAAATCTCACTAGATCAATTTGTCAGGAAAGTGATTTCTTAATGTTATTGTCCTGGGGTGAATGGTATTATCATGGGGGAGAATGTTATTGTCACATTTGAAAAGTCACTGAGAAACCATATCACAGATTGACCTGAAGCTTGTAAGGAAAATTGGGCAGACGGGACTGTTTGGAAGCCGTTGATGCCCCACCCAAAAGTCAACATGACAGAGTGTTTGAGCGTATTGGCCTTGTTCAGATTTCTGATCATACCAAAATCTGCACTCCCTTCTAGAAACTGTAACTAAGGTCTGTTCAGCATAGTTGCAGTGTAAAACACCAGTGAACTCAGTGGGTTTTAAACAAACACAAATATGCCAGAGCAGGCGTCTGCAATAGGAATTTGCTAGCTGTGCTAACAAAGGGTTGTGCTCAGAACAAATAGCTGGGCATTAAAATTATTAGGGTGTATCAAAAGTATTTTCTTTTTTTAGCAGAATTTCACTCCAAAGATCATTTCATTTACACATCTAAAGACTATCTATGAATCCACTATATTATTAACATTATTATTATATATTAGGGTGTATCAAAAGTAATTTCATTTTTATAAAACTTTAAATCAAAGCTTATTTCATGTATTCATCTAAAGTCTGTCTATGGCTCCATTATATTATCAGTATTTTCAGTAGTATTTACACTCTTTATAGACCTTTAATTGAAAGCTTATGTCATGGACATACGCAACTGGCAAAAAGTTTGGAGCCACCCTGCATTTCTTTAAAAACACCTTAAAATGAGATATTTTTGTATTTTTTTTAAGTAAAAGATAAAATTTCAGCAACTACGTATATTTGCTTTTATCTTTCAGTCCTTATTCAGGCTCTACTTACTATCAAAATATTCAAATTTGGATGTGTCTGTCCACAATATATATTTTGTTAAATTATGATTATTTTGTATGAGAAACATTATATTTTGTTTTCACCATTAACCCATTAGTAAACGTTTTGAGATTTCCAAAAGGGTTGGAGATTTGATTCAGGTGAAGGGGACCATGAAAAAAGAACAATATTATTGACTTTTCAAAAACATACCATATCATTCGGTTTACACATAATTGGAAAAAAAAATTGTACTCTTCTAAATTATGTCAAAATTACAATTACTTCAAGTAAGAAAAAGGTACAAAGCTTTGGAAATTATGACTTCTCTCCCATTAAATTAGTATGGGAGGAATTTGATATGAGAGTTCAAAGGGAATACTCAAAGAGTGAGAGTGAGCTTTTTCCATGCTTGAAGAATGCTTGGGAAGGTCTGTTATTTATTTTTATTCAAAAACTGTTGGAAAGAATGAAAAGAATTGGTAAAGCAGTAATTAAGGCAGATGGTGGTTTATCGAAAACAAAATGTGATGCTGCTGCACAAAAATGTTTTATAGCTGAGTGCTTATTTTTTGCCAGAATAAAAAAAAAATTCATGTTATAGACTAGCATATGGTTGCAAGAAAGAAATATGGCAACAGCAGAAATAGATTTACGTGATTTATTTCAATAGGAACATGTGGTTTTGGAACAGCCACCTTGTGGTATAGTTCATAAGCCGGCTGAAGATCTG